CCTTCTCTTTTAATAGAGACGGCATTGGGACGTGCTTAGTTGGACAGATGTAGAACGTTAGGGTGTTAGGATAATTCTTTATTGATCGCATAGATGGGTGTTAAGTGTTGCGTTATGGTAGTATAGCTTCTCTATGTTGTGTAGCGTCGAACAGCGACAGGTGTGGTGTTGTTCCTAATGCGTAAGTAGTGTTGGTGTATTCTGGTCAGTAGAATCGGGTGTTGCTATGGTTTGTGTGTGATTTCTAGCCCCGACCCACTGGCCCCGCACTCGACAGCAGCGCTGCGATCCTGGTGAGGTCCAGTGGCAGGGGAAGAGAGCATATCCTGCATAGGTGTGGTATGCGGACCTGGGATTTGCCCCAAAGAACGCACTGGCCTGTGTAGTGAATGTAAAGCTCGCACGGCCAGGGTTCCTGGTAACAGGTGGCCACACAGCGGGAAGTCAGCTGTCCTAATGTTAATCTGTGATCTACATTAAAGACTGTCATGTGTGCTCTGTGGGTGTCCGGTTTCAATGTGTACTAGGTTATATTGTCTGTCAGCGGCCTACACAGCGAGCCAGGGACCATCAAGGTCAATCAGAGGTCTGTGACATAAAGCAACATACACAATGTTATCACACGCATACAATCAGATATTTAGGCAGTTTTATTTTGCAGCCTTTTCAAAACAAGAACATTATATTTCTTTATAGATATTCACTGAGTCCTTGGGCCGTGGTTATCTTTAGAAAGCGGCGGACATCCGTTAGCTTTTCTCCAACCCTCAGCATCTACAAATAAAGAATCGAGATATTCTGCTCTTGTCCTGCTGTCCGGGTGCGACTCCATCCATGCCGGTAAGGACACTGACCGTTTCTTTTCTTGTAGTGTGGCTATCTTTCTGAAAAAGGTACCAGCCTCGCGAACATCATAGCAAGCGTTGGCGGCAAAAATCAGCCCGACGTGATCTGCTTCCCATTCTAATCGTCTGCTTTTGGGCATGATTATCAGCAGATTGACGATTTTATCAAATAAAAATGTAGCAAGGATATCGAATATATCATGTTGTACTACAAACCAAATAACTGCAAAACCAAGCATGAGAAACCAGTCGATGAATGAACTAAGGCTCAGCGCTTCTATACTGTGATTCATTACTGCATGTGCCATTTCGTGACCAAGGACAATGGCTAGTTGGTCGTCTGAAGTCGACAAGTTCAAGATGCCTTTGAATATAAATATGTGGCCGGTTGATAAAACAAATGCATTAGCAAAAGAATCATTTATTACGTAGACCCGCCATTTGTTTCTAATTTTGGCTTCTGGATTAGCATTTATAATTTTTTTACAGACGTTAAGAGCACGGATAACTCTAGCATCCTCCCCAACAATTAAATATTTTTTGAAAGCGTCAATCAAAAAATCTGCTTGAAATTGCGCTATCTCGGCTTCTTCCGCCAAAGAGAAAGTCACAAATCGTCTTCTTTTTGTTATTGGAGTTTCTTCAATATGGCTAAAATAGTAAAGACAGGCCACTGTAAATAATATTCCAGATATAGTGCATGAAATATTTCGATGACTGTGAAAGCTGTTAAGTAGAGACTGTCTCTCTTCTGCGCTGAGGGACCAAAATATGTTTTTCAAACTCCTGCCAATGATAATCGCTGCAACTTTTGCGAAGAATTTGCCAATTAACCAAGCAATCGTATAGTGATGCTCTTCATCCGGCTTGGAATCATCCGACAGAACACGATTTAGCGGATGTTTTGGCTGTAGTTGTTTAGTATAACGAAAATGAGAATTCCGAGAATCAAGTTTTGGTTTGTGTTTGACAAACTGGTATGTGTGTTTTGATCTGTCGTAAGACAGTGAGAAAACAGTAAAAAGTATTTTATGAGTGCTTCTGAACTGAAATTTGTTGGTAAACGAAAATCGTTGAGGATGAGACGACACACACTGTATTAATTTAAATCCAAAGCGATACATCTTTATCTTTGACTTTAGTCAATAATATCTGAATATGAAGTAAAAATTATTGTTGTAAACTTCTTCCCCAGTAACCTCAAGGAAGTGTTGGAGTGAGATATACCATCTTCTACGTACAATGTTTGATGCACAGTATCTTGTGGTCTCCATTTGAAGACAAGAAAAAGAGATAACAATCCCAATAACAAAAATATGGATGCTCTACTGCCCAAATAATCTTGCGAGTCATTGCTAGCCTGTTTTCATATGTTCGGAACTCAGCAGCTGAATGTGATTGTACCGCACCAGGGGATTTCCTGCAGAGATTACAAAACAATGGCACCCCAAACGAAACATATTTCCTCCTAATTTGCACTTATCATTACAACTGAGCGTCGTACTGTTAAGGAATCACTAGTAAACTGTTGCATGTAAAATTACATAGTAAACCAACAACAGGCAATATATACTAGATTGATTTTGCAGTGTCCTGTAAGGATAGGAACTAACATTATCGCTATTTCCTTTCTAAATAAGCTGTATCGTTTTACATAATGAGTACTGGTTAAGATGTCGACGTGTCGCAGACTACACTGCTTAGGCGCACTGCACTAAAACATCTCTAACTGTGGTCGACGAGATAATGTTATGTCCTGTTGCTGGAAACAAACATCGTTTGGTATGGTTCACCATTCAATGGCAGCGGAAGTTTAGCCAGAGAGTAATTTCTTATTTTTACAAAGGGTTAGAGATCATCGGGTTCATTTGCGCACCATTTACACCTAACGTGAGTGCAGGGACTGGCCAGCTGGTGCTGCAGAATCAGAAGTTCAACAAATGGTTCATGACAATTCTCCGCCCAGGTGATGTGATATCTGACGGAAAACTGGACAGAGAATTTAGCTCCAGATGTGCCAAAGCTAATCAAGTAATGGGGCAACTTTCTCTCCTGTTGACACGGAGTACTAAAGTGAATCTTATCAGAACTATTTTTTGGCCAACACTATGCTATCTATGCCAAAAGTGGAAACTTACATCCTCCAATGAACGTAAAATTGTGACAATAGAGATGAAATGCCTTAGAAGAGCTGCAGGAGTTTCAGTTAAAGACACAATACGAAATCATGAAATTAGACGAATGCTAGGAATAACGCCAGTCTTACAGGTCATCAAAGAACAACAAATGAAGTGGTTTGGACACCTAACAAGAATGCCGTGGTACTATCCGCCACAGCGAGCCACACTAAAACGTTACAACGGGTATAGAGCGAGTGGAAGACTTTGGAAAATATGGAGTGATGGCATTAGGAACAGCCTTACAGAAATGAACAGCAGTCTTAATAGTGCTCTTGACAGAGCCCATCAACGAACATTACATCTCCACCGACACTTCGATGAGGTACGAGGTGGAAGAGAAGAAGAAGAAGAAGGTGATGTGATTGTCTATACAGATGGCTCTGTGCTGAGGGGCAGACGAAGTGCGTGGGGGTTATGGCGAAGGCGAATGGATTTCGCTTGGTGCAACAAAGCCTGTCATATACCATTGATTCTCTGCCTAATTTCTCTCCTCCATGCACCCCCTCCTCACGGGGGGGGGGGGGGCGCCCCATGGATCTCCACCGACCTCTTGGGGGGGTTTCCTTTCAACTTTCTCTCTGGCGCCCCACGAATCTCCACAGACCTCTTGGTTGAAAACTATACACAAGGGAGATGATAGTCGTGAGGCAGACCAAGAAGACGATGGAGAGATAACGTCCAGACTGACCTGCAAATACTTGGTGTTACCAAGTGGAAAGAAAGAGAAGACCTATCAGAGAGATGGGTGGAGGCAGATGAGATCTACAGCAAGGAACCTCAAGGGCTCGGAACGCGAAAGAAGAAGAAAGAAGAAGAAGATAACATACTCTGCCGTTTCTCATACTCCATTCTCCGCTGTTTGCATCTGTGATGAGTAATAAACAAATTAAAACGAGTAAACGGAAATAAACTCCAATGAAAAAGAACATTTCATCAATAACAACAACAATAACACTATCAGTAACTTACTAGAAAGCAATGTAGACTAAAACCGATTGACAGAAAAGTCGGGAATGAAAGATATCAAAGCCAGTGTTATTTTCATTTTATTTTATTACTCGTTCTTTCAGTTATCTATGAAACCTTTTGAGGGCTAACAAGAGGCGGGCAGCCGTTTGATTCTCGCCAACCTTCGGCATCTTTCAAAAGTGAGTCCAAAAACTCTGCTCGTTTGAGACTGTCAGGGTGTGTTCCCATCCAGATTGGTAGAGAGCCGCCACTTTCTTGCTGTTTCGCGATGTTTCTCCACAAGACGCCAGCTTCGCGCACATCGTAGCAAGCATTGGCGGCAAATATCAGTCCCACATGATCTGCCTCCCATTCTTGTTGTCTGGATGCGGGCAAGCGTACCAGCACTTTAACAGTTTTGGAAAATAAAAGTGTACTTATAATGGCCAGAAAATCCGAACGCATGAAGAACCAAATTAAAGCGAATCCGACGACCAAGAACCAGTCTGCGAAAGTGCTTTTACTGAAGCCTTCAACATGGTGATGTAAAACTGCATGAGCGATCTCATGCCCGAGAATAATTGCCAGCTGGTCCTCTGTGGCGCAGAGATCTAAGATTCCATTGAAGACAAATATATGCCCAGTTGGTAAAACAAACGCATTGACGTTTTTTTCATCAACCACATAGATTTTCCAAGTTTTCAAGACGTTTTTCACTTCGATGTTGCTTTCTATGATCTTTCTAGCCACTTTGGCAGCACGTTGAAGTCGAGCATCTTCTGCTGTAACCAGATGATCCTTAAAGAAACTCACCAGAAAGTCTGCCTGAAATGTAGAAATTTCCACTGCTTGGTTTAGCGTGAAAGACATGAATCGCTTCCTCCCAGTTATAGGAGTATCCTCTATGTGACTTGTATAGTAAACAAAAGCCAAAGTGGCCGAAAAGCCCGTTAGTGCAGAAAGAATAGGAATATTTTTCTGGATAGTGTATTTAACAAGGTGTCTTTCTGTTGGACTGAGCGACCAGTATTTCTTCCGCAGAGTCCTGCCGACCATCATGGCTGCCACCTTCAAAAATGGTTTTCCAAATAAGAAAATGATGGTACCGATGTGGCGCCTACCTTGTCTGTTGGGAGGGAAAAAGCTGTTTGGTTTCCAAAATAGACTTCGCTGACAGACGTCGAGATAGACATTCCGAGGAACCATGGACATTATTTGTCGCTCTGGATACGTGTAAAAATGTGTGATGACATCTTCTTCTAACATTTAATGTTAATCTACACGGGTCCTGTGGGTATAGCTTTTCCACATGGAAGATTCGCAAATGTGACACCGCCATCCGATGTATTGCTTTAAACTGTGAGTGCACCATTTTTGTTTTTCCCCCTTTTTCTTTTTTTCCCCCAATATTATTACTTCTAACCAAACCGGGTTATCTTTTTTCTTTATGTATAAGCTGCAACAGAATCATATATTTTCATCAATTAGGCATAGCGATGCAGTTTATTGGAATTCTTTAAGTACGCTTCTAATCTAAAATGCTTCGTCTTGCTGCCAGTGAGTATAACTAACCTTATTAAAAATTGGCTCCATTAAAAACTCTATGGAGATCATTTCCACCTTATGTCAGTGCAAATTAACTTTTGCTTGTCGAAATATGAACGATTTCTTAATTTCATGAAAATCCATAGAAGCTGCGGCACCTAGAATTTCGATTTAAATACAATATTTTGCTGGCCGGAAATAGTTGTTAGATTCTGTGGCGAATTATTAATCTATTATACCAGATGATTTCTTCAGCTTGAGAGACTGACTGGTGGAGTGCTAAAGATGGAAGGCAAGATTTACTCCATCCATGCTGGACTATGCCTGAATTCTGTAGGAGATTTGCCACCAGTGTGGGTCGTGGGTTAAGCCGTTCAATAATGCACGATTCAAAACAATCAAGCAGTGTCTTTCGTACATAAGAGAAAGCTGACTGCATGGTGCGCTACAACTTCCCCTAGTGTTTATCATCAGCTGCATCATCAGCAGCATCATTATCATCACACATAATCAGCAACAACATCATCGATAAAAACTCTAGCCGTTAAGCGGCGTCGGGAAGAGTAGTTTGTGATTCATTGTTCGACTGGTAGATGTCACTGCTTATTGTCATTCTACTGGGCCACCTACGGACAGAAGAGACATCATAAATGCCATACGAGTGACTAAAGGCCGTGAGGCTTTCAATTTCGTGGGAAATGATTTTCTGACGGCCTACCCTGGGTGTACTAGTGGAGCAGCAAGACAGGAAAACCATACGGGAGCCACCCGTCGTTACATCAGCCAAAACAGAATAGGAGCTGTTAGCCTAAAAACACTTGGAGACACACTCAGGAGGAGATCGGAGCACTTATGGTCATGTCCGATGTGCAATGAAGATTATCTTAAAACTGAACAATGTGGATGTACAACGTCTTTAACGTCATCATTCCAATTTTACTTGGGTGCCCTCCAGGTTTCATGTCAGATCATTTTAGGGGTAGTCCTCTGTTGGATGTTGTCGCGTCTACGTTTATTCTTTTGCAGTCAGTTTTCGGATGGGTAAATCTATCGATCGCTTAGTCCGATCCGAGCTGCTACCTGAAAGTCTACCGACCTTATCCTGAAAGATAGAATAACAAGGCAGTTCCGAAAAACCCAGTTCATCTATCAAAGAAGTGATAATAAGGTATTCCGCAGCTACTTAACCAGCCTGGTGTAACCTGCAGTCCAGTCCTGTGTAGCTCAGGAATTTTTTTTTTAATTCCAGGGCATGCTGAGCTGAGCTGAATTGCGTTTCACGAATTGACATTTCAGCACTCGGGGCATTCACATAAGCGCTAATTTCCCATCTTCAGCAGTCAGGGAAGAGTTCCAACTCCGACGGTAGCGGTAGCAGTTTGACTGTATGTCCGACTTGATTTCCTCTTAGTGTGGAGTGTCGGCCAGATCCCCTGGTTACTCCCCTTGTACCATTCTCTTGAGGCTGGGATAGTCTAACGGTGGCTCTGCATACCAGGGCATGCCGACACAAACAAGCAAGAAGACTGGTTCATTAATTGATTTTTAGATTGCACCTTTCCGTCTTTCCAGACGATAGTGTTATATTGCGCTATGAGGAGGCACTGGACTCATAGCCTATTGCGATGGCGAGTGTCACTAGCAAGACCCGCTCAATTTAAGAAAAATCTTCCACAATTATTGAATGGGATTTCAGGACCGTTGTTGCCAACATTTTTGTTAGTGTGTTTCATCTCAGATGCTCAGCTCTCATCCTTTCTGCAATCATTTCTTTCTTTATTATCCTTCCCTCGCTGATGTGCCCCTCCACATAGCACGGTCCACGGCATTTTGTTCCCACGAGTCCACTTCAAAAACTAGTTCACTATGTGGAGAAATGATGCACGGCGACAAGACAGATCCAGTAAAGGCCTTTTAAGGAGCACAGGAACAGCGCGGAAGAGAGAATCGTTAGTTAGTTAGTTAGTTAGTTAGTTAGTTAGTTAGTTAGTTAGTTAGTTAGTTAGTTAGTTAGTTAGTTAGTTAGTTAGTTAGTTAGTTAGTTAGTTAGTTAGTTAGTTAGTTAGTTAGTTAGTTAGTTAGTTAGTTAGTTAGTTAGTTAGTTAGTTAGTTAGTTAGTTAGTTAGTTAGTTAGTTAGTTAGTTGGTTGGTTGGTTGGTTGGTTGGTTGGTTGGTGGTTGGCTGGCTGGCTGGCTGGCTGGTTGGTTGGTAGGTTGGTAGGTTGGTTGGTTAGATGGTTGGTTAGTTAATCGTTACGGTTCCGGCATCACAGCAAACGAGTTTGGTCCATAATTGCTCAACCGCCTATGCGCCTGTTTGACGAATAGTTGGGCGATGAGTAGATTAAAACGGAAGAAAACGGGAAGAGAGAATATATCAACTTGGTATGGAAGTAATGATGCAGCGAGGAGTTACAGTCAGTCCGTGAAACATTCAACGCTATATGTTATACGCCAAAAAAAGAAGCGCATGGGCATTCACAGCACGCTCAGCGGGCAGAACGGTCAAAAGAAGCCAACGGCGCCTTCTCCATGACAACCAGCAACATGACGATGGAGGTGATTGACTGTCCAAAACATCCCTTTTAGAGCCTCAAGGGGTTCAATGGGTTAAAAAGAGGTCAAGGGGTTATAAAGAGGTTATACAAAATATGGAACACGAACAACACAATATGAGGGCCTGAATGGGATTTTTTGTTTTTGAATAATTTGGGACCGTTATTCGGAAGAGTGCTGTGCGTGGAGTCACCTTTATTTTTGTTCTGGGACACACAGGCGTCGATGGAAATGAAAGAGCTGATAGGTTGCCCATACCGCTACACTACCGACGGTCAGCCTATGGATCATGCTGATACTATTAATGTCCTCAGAGAAATGGGAAGGATAGAGGACTTTGGGGGCAGTGAATCCACATCACTCGCCAGAATGGCAGACTTGGGAGTTAAGATCGGCATAGCAAAAAAACGAGACGCACACCAGACGACTTGTTAATCAACATAGAACTGGTACTATTAGCCATCGGACGTTGGGGTTTATACTGAGGGGAGGATCTGAGCACATATGGACATGTCTGGAGTGCAATGATGATAACCCAACTAACTAACTAACTAACTAACATTCGATGCTTAGAGCATAGACAAAGCATATATAATCAGACTACAGCAATCATCGGTAGCATTACTGTCGGAGGCTGCTGCTGAGGCTGAGGACGGGGTAATGATGGGAATGCTAAAAAATGAAATGATGATGACGTTCAACCTCACTAGGACATCACACCGAGCGATAAACACCTGGCGACATAAAGTGCCATCATTCGGATGAGGATCACCTGTTTCTGGTTCCTAGAAACCCCATTCAACCCATAGGTTAGGTTATATTAGGAACCCAACAGCCAGGGTGGGGTTTTAAAACAACAAACAATTGCTTCCGATACTGGGGCCTAGCTTTATCAAATGATGTGAAATCAGCGTTAACTTGATCAACAAGGTGCCGTTTCTGCAGTGAATATTGACTGCTATGTCTCTCCAACTCCATTGTGTCTTTTCTCGTGGTTGTACATTCTCAAAGATAAGTTATGAGGTAAGAACCAACATTATAGCCCTGTTGATGTTCTCATTCGCGCAGCGTCTCCATGTCCAGCAGCAAGAGCTCTCTGAGATTGCTATTCCTCCATCTCTCGATATTATCCTCCCATGTCGCTGTCTACCTCTTACTCGTATCTCAAATTATCCTCGCATGTATATCGCTGTCTATCTCTTACTCATATCTCAACTAGTTGTCTACATTTGTTTTTATACATGCTTTTGTCGTCAGCCCATTTGCGATAAATATTTCTACAATTTTCCCCATCCGTTGTTGTTGGGTTCAATTGAGTTGAAACAAGAATTGACATCACAGCACTCGGGACATTCCCATGTGTGCTCCGTCCTCATCTTCAGCAGCCAGTCCAGAGTTGCCATTGTTGTGAACAGGTTAAAGAACGAAGCCGGAGAGTCATAATCGCCCACGACAGTCTGCAAGACCATTGATGATGATTTGTCAGTGCAAACTGTCCAGTGTAGTTCAATCAGTCATGTGTCGTCTCCACAGTGAAGGTAGGCTGCAATGGATCTCCAGCATGCTCTGTCTCTTGTCCTGGTTGTAAACTCTCTCAGACTGCTGCCCGTCCATCTCTTGATGTTGTCCTCCCACTTGTAATCTGGTAATCTGGTAATTTTAATTTCAGCTTCATAGCAAACGGGTCACCCCATCTTTGCTCCACTCCTGTGCCAACGAAAAACACACAGAATGTTTATCACAGTCCCTTGTGGAAAGACTGACAAACTGCTCTCTCAGCAAATCTAGCATACACTCGCATTAAAAGCATATGATAGCCATCTGAAGTGCTAACACAAACAGTCCGACGTTAGAAATGCAGTTCAACATTGATGTTAGCAGAAGTCATTAAAAGATCAGCAGTTGCACACGCGATCAGTTGTAATCAAATAATGGCCACACCAATATTGCGACAACCGGCATTGCGCCATTTTATGAATCTACAAATCACACCACCACGTTGGTCAGTCGAAAAACATTCCAAATGAAATCCGCAGCTCACAGTGTCACGCCATGCACTCAACTCAGAGGCTGGGCAACGAAACTATATACTTCCAGTCTACAAATGGAGCAAAAAAAAAAAAAGCAACGGCCACAGTCTGGCAGAAGCAAAAATGTTTGCCTTGGCTCAAAACAGTGTCAGTGCCTAGTGTTCATTTGGACCTGAAGCTCCCACTTGTATCTGGGCCTACTTTTTGCCTTTGACCTTTCCCTCCAGTAGGGTTTTTTAAAAAGTGTGTTACATCTTTTAATGGGGCCGTAGTATTTTAATTGTCTGTTTTATTTCTTTCAGTAATTCTCTTTTCATTTATAACCTTTCCAGCACCTCTGTATTGTTTTTGTTTCCATGAAACACGGCCTATTCTTCTTCCTGGGTAGTTAGCACCCTTTGGATGTTTTTTTTTTTTTCAGGTCATGCCGGTGTGTTGAGAAATTAGCAGGTAGACAGACTGACAGATTCTGCACCACATGGTGGTGAATTGATGTATGACAAGCTTGATGTTGTGAGGGCCCTTTGGGAGCGCATTAACAGTGCGGAGGTACAAATAGATGATTGCGGTCTGCGGAGAATGACGCTGCAAGGAGTTAGCAGGCCGACGCTCAACATTCAGAGGAAAGGGCAGACGGATATACAATCAGACAGTTACTGATACCATCGGAACTAGAACTCTTCACTTGCTGCTGAAGATAGGGACGGAGTGCGTATGGGAGTGTCTTGAGTGCTGTGATGTTGATTCTTAATTTAACATTCAGTGCAAATTCGGTCTATCACGGCAGTGCTTGACTGATAACACCTGGCACATCCGCTGCGCTGTTTGCCACATAGTCTGTTCCCTACAGCAGAAGAGAAGAGAAGAGGCACAGAGAGAGAGAGAGAGAGAGAGAGAGAGGATCGCTGTTTCAACAACATCATGGCCACCGTGAAATGTTTGGTCAGTGTTGTCTGTGACATTATCATCGTCGCCGCAGGTTCGTGAAGTTTTTGTTGGTCGTTTTGCTACGAAAATAAATTGTCATTTATTGTATGTCCTCAGCTTTTATTGTAATGTTTCGATTTGACTGTTCTTTACTTTATATATATATAAATATATTAAATATAAATAAGTCAGTTGTTGAGGAAAAACACACTACACACTCTTCTGTGTTTTCGATATAGTTGTATAGTGTCAGCCGCTCCTCTATTCAATACAGAGGTTCTTTAGAGGCTATTAAAAAAAAAAGAGTTACTGAAAGAACTAAAAAAAGAGACAGTTAAGTTAAAGTATTTTGATCACATCAAAAGACAACACACACACTTAAAAAAAAATATGGTAAATATGCAGTGAAAAATCATAATCAAGGAAAGGAGAAAATATATACTTGTTGAAGGATGATAATTGATATCAAGATGTAAACAAACAGCGGTCCGAGAGAGTGTACAACTAAGACAAGAGGCTGAACATGTTGAAGAAAAATGAACATACAGAGTTTCTTTCAGGCAAACTGGGATGAGAGGTAAGTTCTGCAGAGGGCCTGCTACAGGATGATGATGATTCACATCCTGACCTCATAAATATTTGCACAGACATGAACAAAGCCAGTAGCATCAACAATACTTCCCTTAAACAGGACACTACATTATAGAGGATTGGATCCAACTCAAAGTGTTGTGACTTCTTGAGGCGACATGGTTAAGAAGAAAACACAGCAGTAAAGAGAAAGGAGCATTGCAACCTTAAACTGCATACCCAAGTAACTCCATATAGTGATGGATTAGGGGAAAAAAGATGTATATGCGGAATCTAATAGTAAATAAAGTCAGTCAGAAGGTAGAGGACCCCTTTCATGATTTTGGTTGGTCTGGCATTTAGTACTAGGCCTGCATTTGTATAGACCAGTCAGCACTCACTGGGTTATGTGGGCACACAAAACTGTTAGTTCTGGAACAAGACCAAAGTCCAGAAGTGAATAGACAACAGGACTTTACAGAAGGTGAATAAAAAAATATTTTATTCTTTGATGTTCTGTCTCTGAAATCATTCACTGTTTTTGTCCCTGCTAATACAATAGTAGCGGCGTCCGTGGCTAAGGCGTTGCGAGTCCGACTCGTAATCCAACGTACCGCAATCAAGACCCACTGCGGGCTGCGTGGATTTTTAATCGTGGTATGGGACGTTGCAGGTCGACCCAGCCTCAAATGGAAAAGTAAAGACAGCCGGCGTAATGCTGACCACATTACCCACCGAGTGCTGATGGTCTGTAAAAATATGGGCGCTCTTCCAATATGCCCGATACGCCTAAAGGCGTGGAGAGGGATCTTTACTTTTAATACAATAGTAGACACAGTACTGGTGACTGATTTCATAGAACGTTAAAGAATGAAATGGTTTGGACAGAAAGAAATAAAATCTACTACATGAGATCAACAGGCTAAAAGGCAAGAGGCACACCAAGAAAGAGATGGGCGAAGGGAGTAAAAGAGACACTGCAGAAACACAGTATGACATTAACATAAGCCACGCAACTAGCAAAAGACATGAAACTACATCTAATTCCTCTGTGCATTAGGACAAAAAAAGAATATAATGCAAACAAGTTTAGTATCTTTGCTATATCTATTTCACAGATAATTCTGCTTGAGATTCTGTACCGTCGGCAGTCAAAAACCAACAGACATGTGGAAGACCTCAGTGATCGGGAGAGGTGGTTTGTCTCTTGCTTTCACATGGTGGCCATGTTCTTCTTTGGTGCCGCCACCACGCACTTTTTAACTGACATTCCAAAATATGCGATTGGTCGCCTTAGACCACATTTCTTTGATGTGTGCAAGCCAGACTGGAGCCGGTTGAATAACACCTCAGGTTATATCACATCTGATATATGCACAGGGGAGAAAAAAGACCTGATACACGAAGCTAGGTAGGTCCAACCAGATTATCCACATTGTCTTACTGAGATCAATTGTTGTTCCTCTCTCTCTTTACAGAAAAATAAACACACTTACACAGTTTTGGTACCAGATAAAGTTAAATTCAACAATGTCTGTGCTAAAGGTTTTGTATCCTAAAGCAACAGTGAATACAGCTTTGGGAGAGTGAAAGGATGAATGAATTAATGAATCAAGAATTGACATCACTGCAGTTCGTCCCTATCTTTAGTTACCAGTCAAAAGTTGACATGCTAAATGGTACCAGTTTCTGCCTCTGATTCCCCCTCAGTGTTGAACATCTACCAGACCCTCTTACACCCCTCGTCACCCAAATTGCCGTGTTGGTCCACGGCAGAGATTATGTTGGTAATTCTTTCTTGCCGTCCTTTTTAGGATGCAATTTTTAGTTATTTGAAGCCCTACTCTGGCTCATGCCAGTGGCCGCAATATAGCCTGGTCATAGGTATGGCCTATTGGCTGAACGCGGTTTCTGGGACCTCTCCACTGTGATCCTCATCCACATGGTGGCACATTGTGTCATCGGGTGTTTATCGCTTGTGTGATGTCCTGGTGGGGTAGAAAGTCAGTCAGTTACACCCCTCGCTGAATCGGCCTTTCATAGTATGGATTCCCTATCTGTTCTTTTGCACTATCTCTTTGATCCCATAGAGCCTTCACCACATTCAGTTTATCATATAGTAGCTAACCAGCCAGAGGAGCGGCAGCAGCCAACCTATCAACCTGCTCACTGCCTCACACACCTGAATATCCTGGACAGAAAATCCACGATGTGCACTTGATCTGGATCTTATTAAGGGATATAAATCACTCTGCGCGCGTGACACCAGATTCAGTTTTCTGAAGCATGCTCTGCGAGTTTGTTACAATCAGGTGTCGGCTGTGCTGTTGTTAAGCCATCGAAAAGTTGCTTGTGACTGACAGGATCTTTGGAAGCGAGGTGTTATAATAACGACTGGAAAATTATGGGTTAATATAAGACCTGAACTGGGTCAGAAAAATTAAGAAGTATGTACCAACTGTAATGTAACCAATGAACATATGATAAGCTCCTTGATACTGAAAGAGGTTTAAAAAAAACTTGCACTAATAAAGAGCTCAGGTCTGTGGCTTAAGGCCTTATCTGTATACATTGCTCGGTGTTGGCTGACATGGTCATTACCTCTCTGTCTTGCCTTTGCTTACAAAATTTCCTGGGGTAGTAATTTGATACTGGGTAGACTTGGGAGCTTAGGCCCGTTACAATATAATACTCCTTCTGAGTAATAGGTCGACACTGAGGCCTCCTGGCCAAGAAATTGTGTCGACGCCAGGGTCTACTGACCAGAAAGTTTGGTTCGACATCAGGGCCTGCTGGCCGGAAGAACATTTTTTTAATTGGTGATAGACAGACAATTGAAATGCTTCTTTTGGACACTGGCGGAAAGTTCTGGCTGTTCATCCACTTCAGACTGTCAGTAAATGAACTCTTTCTTCAAAGGAAACCCCCCTAATTAGTCACTTCTTACAACATACTTATTAGGGGGTCCCTGGGTCCACCCCCTTCCCTCCCCCAATAGGGTTTCTGGAACCTAAAGTGAAAACAACTGAACTGGCTGAAAACCTGTCAGCGTAAATATTGACATACTGACAAACAAAATCAAATCCTGTAACCTGCATCACTTCCACCTGCATCGCTTCCATCTGCATCGCTTCCACCTGCATCGCTTCCACCTGCATTGCTTCCACTTGCATCACTTCCACCTGCATCGCTTCCACCTGCATCGCTTCCACCTGCATCGCTTCCACCTGCATCGCTTCCACCTGCATCGCTTCCACCTGCATCGCTTCCACCTGCATCACTTCCACCTGCATTGCTTCCACTTGCAATTGTGTTTGGTATATTTATTTCAATGTGTGGCATTTCCAAAGTGGAGGTGGTCTAATGTGCATTGATGGGCGCCTATTGCTGACTTTGAACACATGACCTGATGGAGTTTGGTGTATTATTATTGTTTAAATAAAAACAGAAATGATAATGCTGTGTCTTGCTGTTCACGATCATTCCAGTGTTCAGTTTTCTACCCACAACTGACATAATCTTTTTCAGTAGTTGTCAGCCTCACTTCAGAGTTAAGTGTTTACTTTTTTACCTCTTGTTTGCCAGCTTTCAGTGCACCGTTCACCAAACTGGGCCAAAGTTTGTCTCATTGAAACTGTCCTTTCTGGTACACTTTTGACAGAGAGGATTAACTTGTCTTTGCTCACATTTGGTTTATTTAAATTGTCTGACCTTCACACTTTGTTTATTGTATGTCTTGATTGACTTTTAGCGTTGATTTCTCTAGTGTGTACCCTTGTTGACCTTATGCTGCGGTGGGTTCCTGGACCCTGTTTGGGGGTTTGACCCACTGCCCCCCCCTCCCCACACAAGATGACTAATTAGGAATTTGCTGAAATTAGATATCTTGGGCTGAAAGTGCAGGGGTTGCAGCCTAGCTGTAAACCACAACACAATGTGCCAGCTGTCCTCGAGGGCAAAAAAAAAAAAACAAGTTTTATTGCCATTTTCACAGTTAATTACCCTTCAGTATGCACAGAACCACTCGTTAGTATCTTTTGACTGTTAGGGTTATCTTTGTGACTGTTTAATGACTAGGCCTGTACCAGGTGTTTTTTTTTTGTTGGTTGTTGCTGTAGGTCAAGTCAGCTCTTTCCAGACAGAAAGCTTTTTTGAAGTAATAATGGTAATTCTTTTCACTTAAACGTCTCATTTCCATGGTTACTGATTATCTTTTCTAGTGACCGTCTGCCTCTGGTTGCTTAGGGTAGTGATGAATATACTTGATCTGAGATGGCTCTTTGTGCTAATTAGGACTGTCTTATGCTAAAATTTGCCATTGCATGAGAAAAAAACAATGCAGGATATAAAGAATTGTGTGTGTCCTGTGGTTGTGAAAGAATTCGTTTGGAAAGTAGTGTTTAATTTAATGTGTTTTTTTTATTTCACTAGGTTGTCATTTCCCTCAGGTCACTCCTCAATGGCTATGTTCTGTGCTTTCTTTTTCATTGTAAGTATACAAAGCTTTTGATATGGTTTTATTTTAACTTCCTTACACATGCTGTCATGTGCTAAACTCACTTTGCTATTTAGTTGTGCCAGGAATCAGAGATATGATCACCTACACCAGTTGTCAAGGCGCTAGATGATGATGATGGTGGCAGAGGCGAGTGCAAAAAGTCCAAGCTACTTGACAACTGGCACAGGCGATCACGTCTCTCTTACGTCTCAATAGGTTAATAGATTTGATACTTAGCTGGTTGTAAAGTGTACTTTGTAATTCTTCTTCGCGTTCACCAGCTGTAAACTCCGGCGGAAAGTTCTGGTTGTTAGCCCACTTCTGGGCTGCAGTCCTGTTCCAGAACCTGAGTGTTGCGTGTGCATCCGTTTTACAGATCTGACTTATTGGCATGCAGACTGCTGGTTCCTTGCCTCTCAGGCAGATGCACTCCGACTTTGAAGGAAGCTCCTAGTTAGTCGACTCTGTCGACATGCTTTTGGGTAGGCAGTGGGTCTATTCTTGTTTTCCCAAAATAGGGCCCCGGAACCCACAAAGGGAACTTTGTAATTGACTACTGCCCTGGCTCAATTTATTTTATAATGAATAATCAGCTAGGCTAGAAAATGTATAGGAAAAAATTGGTTACCCATCCTTTACAGCAGTGTTCCGCAAACTTTTTACACCTGCCGGCCTCCACAATGAGAAATCATTTTGCGGTCAGCTTGACAAATAAGAAAAGCAAAAATGTAGATAGAAGTTTTTTTGTTACATCCAATGGCACAAAATTATAATTGTCAGCTAAGGCGACTTCTGCTGCGTATAGGTTAGAAAATCTTATTTACGTGGCTGGAGCGTTGTTTTTGATGAAAGAAGTGCTGCAGTAACATCCATCTGATTTAGATGCTTGGTCTTTATTACTGACATGACTGAGAATGTCTTTTCACACACAAAGTAAAGTTTAAAAAAAAAGTCAGCAATATGATTGCCCCCCCCCCCCCCCCCCCCCCCTTAAAAAAAAAAAATAGTGATATCTAGAACTCAAGACAACAAATTCTATGTTTGGACAGAAGAATATCATCTGAAGACAACTCACTCATATTTTCTTTGATCATGATGATCAAGTGTTTCATGATCTTTTTTTTTCCAGGAAGGAATTATTTATCCTTTACGTTTATTCTCATGTTCCGGGAAATCATTTTCAAAGTTTTCTCTTTTCTGCATGTGAACCAGGTTTCTGGAATTTCTTTCTAGAGCGTCTTTTTTGTGTGTGTGTAAATTTGTATCAGAGGTGTTGGATCCTGCAGTCTTACCCTTTATTGTTACATGGTTAAGCAGGAATTTGGTTGGTAGTCGCGCACGGTTTGAAGAACACTTGCTTTACAGGACCCCAAAAAGCCAGCCCCAACATTTGTTGGCTGTTTATTAATAGTCAGTGTTTACATTCGGCAGTTTGTAACTGCCTTTCATATCTGTCGCCACTCAATACCATTGAAGCAAGGAAAATCACATTTGTGTATGGAGCGAAAACTTAGAGAACAATTAACAGTTACCAATAAACTAGAAACATTCATTAACTGGTGCCTGCGTGGAATAGAGAGCTTTAAATTTGCATGATATTTTCATTAATGTTGAGCTGTGGGCAGAACTAAACAAGTCCCAGTGGACTACGAGGTGAGGAAAACCTGAGAACAGTATGACTTAAATGTCTTTGTACTGGATCCCACAGGGGAATAGAAATAAAGGCAGACCATATAACACACGTAGAAGGGAGCTCGAGAGCAAAGTTAAAAGTATAGGAGAACATGGAGTGAGCGGCATGCGATAGCGAAGGACAGAACAACTTGGCATGAGTTGGTTGAGGGCCTATGCCTAAGCCACAGATGCCAACATTGATAGCAAAAGCATCTCTTGTTGGATGTGGAAAGCAAGGGAAAACCATTCACAGTCCCCTAGCAATAGGTTTATGGATAGTTACAAATCTAGATTCGTGGAACACTCCATGTGGGTTCCGGGGCCCTGTTGTGGAGGAAAACCATTCACAGTCCCCTAGCAATAGGTTTATAGATAGTTACAAATCTAGATTTGTGAAACACTCCATGTGGGTTCCGGGGCCCTATTGTGGAGGAAAACCATTCACAGTCCCCTAGGAATAGGTTTATAGTTACAAATCTAGATTTGTGAAACACTCCATGTGGGTTCCGGGGCCCTATTGTGGAGGAAAACAAGAATAGACCCACTACCTCCCCATCAAGCATGTTGTAAGAGTTGGCTTGAGGACTTCCTTTAAAGTTGGAGTATATATGCCCGAGCGGCAAGGAACAACCAACTAAACACAAAGCCAGTAAAACTCAGGCCATGGCACAAAGCCGAAGTCCACATAGATGAACAACTAGGACTTTCCTCTGGAGCTTACAGCCGGTGAACAATGAAGAAACCATTATGAGTTGATGGTCTAGATTAACTACTGAAATAAACAAATTATGATCTACATTTTTTTGTTTTTTTTAACAATAGCTGTACCTGGAATCAAAACTGACGTGGAAGGTTGTACCTCTGCTCCGGCCACTTCTTCAACTGATAGCCTTTAGCTTGGCTTTCTTTACTTGCTTGTCTCGGATCTCAGACTACAAGCATCACTGGAGTGATGTGTTAGCTGGAGGCATTTTAGGAGCTGCTATCGGATGTTTAGTGGTAAGTTGATAGAATCTTCATTTGGAGTGTCTGTTTGTCATTACTTGGGCTTTTGAAGTGGTTACAGAAGAATTCTTAGAATACCGTGGATAAAGAAGAAACATGGCTGCATAATTTCTTCTGTGTTTGCCTTCAAAAGATGGTTGTCATGTTATGTTGTGGTTTGTAGCTTGGCTGCGATGTGTGCACATTTTGACGCAGCACATACAATTTCACAGACATTTGATAAGACTAAATCTGTGTTGCTGTACTTAATACTGACTGACTTTTCACTTAAATGACTTGATCCAAGTTACTTCCTTCAACTGATTGTTTTGCCTTATTTTTCAGATTAGTGGCAATTTAAACATTTCCTAATTTTTGTTAAATAATTATTTTGTCTAAGTTTTCATTTTAATTGACAAATCCGTGTGTGTGTGTGTGTGGTATTTTTTAAATTAAAAAAAAACTTATTTTTTTTTCTAATTTTATTTTCAGTTTAATTGTGCCAAGACAAGTTCAGCAGACAAATTTTGATGAAAATGCCCCATAATTCTGCATATATGGTTATGGAAAAACATCTGTTCAAGTGGGAATTTATACCATCACCAGAATGTCATCTGGAGAATATTAAATTTTTAATACCTTCTTTAGCAATAACAATATACACATTTTAAAAAATCTGTTATGTTTGTTTTCTTCTTATTTTTGGGAGGTAATTTTGTTCCATCGTTTTTCTGTACTGATTGTTTTAAATGTTTATATGGGCCGGTTATGTTCCAATTTTACTATACCAGGTGATGTAAAAAAAAAAAAAAAAAAATTTTTTTAAAATCAGGTAGTTTTTTTTTATTATTTTTTTTTTTTTTTAACTAACTAAAGTACATTGTTATGTTTGAATAGATTTGTTTTAAAGTTGTTTTTTTAACGGATTGGTGTAAATTTTTATGTAGGCTAGTTTTGTTTTATTGTTTTTCTGTGCTGAGTGGTATACTTTTATAATGCAGTTTTATTGTGTTGTTGATTGTAATCCTTGGTTAGATATTTTAGTCAGGAGTATAATCTCATTCGCTGCTGTAGCGATGTTGGATGAGGCTGGCAAAGATGCAGCAAGGAACTCAGTGAAAGAAGTTTATCAGCTAGTGCAGTGGCTGTCAACCTTTCTAATGTCGCGACCCTTTTAATACAGTTCTTCTTGTTGTGGCGACCCTCAACCATAGATATTTCCGTCGCTACTTCATAACTTCAATGAATAGGTGTTTTGTGATGGTCTTTGGTGACCCCTGGGAAAGGGTCGTTTGATCCAAAAATTTAAAAAAAAAAGGTCGCGATCCATAGGTTGAGAACTACTAAGCTATTCTGTGGCTTCAGCGCAGACCTGATAAGAACTCACCAGGGACCTAAGAAGTGGTTCTTCTTATCAGAAATTCCTTTTATCCAGACAAGAATTCAAGCAGGAAAAATTGCCGGGGTTAAACAAATTGCTCTTCACGAAAAAAATTTGCCACATCCAAGATCGCCTTAAGCAGTCTGTACTGTGTAATACTTTCGTCTGGAAAGGTGACAGTTGTGTTTATTAAACACAATTTAGCAGTTTGATAAAGAATTTGTCCATTATCTTTCTCTCTCTCTCTCTCTCTTTTATGATTATTTCTAGTATCAGGTTTATGCAGCATATAAATGACTGTAAGTGCACATTGTGCATTGTTTTATTGTACATTTCTTTTGCAATTTTCTGTACACACAAAATTTATATCAAATTTATACACTTCATTAGAAGGTGATGTATGTTTTATAGTATTTTGAATTACTGTAATTTTAAAAACTTCCGGTGTAATAAAGTGCAGTGTTTTCAGTATGTAAGTTGTATTGTATTAATGATCTTTCTATGCTAAGGTTTAGCCCTCTGGCCTACGATGATCCTCATTTTCCAAATGTTGGCCCCTCTGTCTAAGCTGAAGTTCTGGATGAAAACCAGAGTCCAGGAGTGGATGAACAACCAGAACTTTCCGCCCGAGTTTACAGCCAGTGAATGCCAGGAAGAAGAAGAAATGGCTCTAGTTAATGTCTTCAGGAAATGATCTGTGTCTTATTTTCTATGGTGGCAATGAAGGACAACGAATGCTCTAGCACTCACTGCTTATGCATATGTGCCTTGCTGTACCAAGTGAGTCACCATAGGTTTTCTGGGTATTCCCAAAGATGTGTGTGGCACCGTGGCTTAGAGGTTAGCAGTTTCATGACCCCTGAGGACTAGTGTTAGTTCCACCCAGGGTGGACAGTTTAAAACAGCAGTTCTCGTGACCCCTTTGTGGGTGGAACCAACGTTTCACAGGGGTCGCCTAAGACCCTAGGAAAACACATATTCACTGAAGTTATGAAGTAGCAATGAAAATAATTTTATGGTTGGGGGTCACCACAACATGAGGAACTGTATTAAAGGGTCGTGGCATTAGGAAGTTTGAGAACCACTGATTTAAAAGAAATAGTTCTTATATTTTTTTGGCCAGTCCCGCTGTTGTCTTTGGGAATATTGCCTGGTCCAAAAACATAAGAACGATTTCTTTGAAACTGTTCACCGTGGGTACACTGTAGCCACCCTTCATTGTAGAGACACAACATAATTTATTTTATTATTCCTAAAGATAATATAACTGTCTTGTCTCCTTTCCTAGACACTTATTATATTAACCTTTGGTATCTGAATTATTATTTAGCATTTCTTAAATTATTCATTATCTGAATTGAACTACTTTTGCCCTGTTTTTACTTTTATTCAACACCTTTAGATTTATATTAAACTGAATGCTTTGGGATAAAAAGAGTTCAAAATTATTATTATTTGGTACTGAAAAGGCTAAAAGTAAAGATTAAGTATGGTGTATAAGATGCTATGTTTTCCCAATTTTTGGGGTTTAAAATAGGGAGTTGTCTCATACATGGAACGTGTTTAAAATATTTGTCTTTATTTTGGGCTAAACAAATATGGGTTATCATATACTTTAGGTGCGTCTCAGACAGAAAATTGTGGTAAATTGATAGGAGGATAACTATTGTTAAAAAATATATTTTAATTGATTGGCTGTAAATTGTTTGTCAACTTACTAGGATGCTGTTATTCATGTTTTTCATCATCATCATGTGCCTTGAATAGCATGGTAAACCTCTTCATGTCTGGCTTTTTTCTTCTAGAAAAAAAAATTGCCGGTCATCACCACAAAGTGTCTACAATACGGTGCTGGTACTCGCTACAAAGTGTTTGTTACATTAGTACTGCACAAATTATGTCTTGAAAAGGTGCCAGTACTGCCCACCGCTATAAGAAGAAGCAAAAAAGCCCTGTTTTTATATTTTCCCATGCCATGGTCTTAGACCCCAGGTTCTCAGTTAGCTACAACCTGCGACCCTCTCATACAGTCAGGAGGATCGACTTTATTGCACCAGGTTTGATCCCGTATGGCTCGGCCTCTCTCCGCAGAATGGCTAGCCCACCTGCCAAGTGTGTCACACAAAGCGTGAACACTGTAGTTTCTGCGGCAATTCCCAGGGGTCTCTGTAAAAATTGCACTCGTGAATTGAACGACGCAGCCATGAAACAAACCCACAACATATAGTGTGCATGACAAACAGCTCGACCACTCTGCCATGGAGACACCCTCCTTCTCCCCCCCCCACCCTTTAATAGTCACATTGTAGAATTTATTATAATTTATAAATATTAAAATCGTGAAAAACATTGTATTCAGAAGTTGACAATGATTTGTAAATGATACAATGAACCCCTTTGATTTGTTCTATGGACAACCAGATGGGAAAGATCATATGTTCAGTGTTGAATTAAGAATCAACATCATAGCACTCAGGACACACTGATACATACTTTGCCCCCGTCTTCAGCTGCAAGCGAAGAGTTCCAATTTCAGTGATACCATCTCGCCTTTACCTTGAGTGTCGACCAGATCACCTAGTAGCTCCCCGGTAAACTTGGGAAAGACCATCGACCATTCACTTCTTAAGTCTCCTTCCACCACAGATCTTAAACACAATGTTTCACTGCCCCTATTGTCATCCCATAAACAAAGAATACTCTTAGTATTTTATAATTGTGTGCAATCTTCTACTTCTTCAGCTTTTCCTGACAATCATTGTTTTTGTTTTTGTTTTATTTAATATCAGACTCAGCCAGTTGGGAAACAGTTATGTATAATTTATTAGTTACAGTTGCAACTTCACAGCAAACGGATCACCCTGTAATAGCTATCTTTCTGTGCCAATGAAAACTACACAGAGTGCCTGTCACTGTTCCTTGTGAGAAACAAACTGCAGTCTCACAAAGTCAACAGCGTACTATAAATGCGTAGGGTAGCAGTCAGAAGTGCCAACACAAATAGTCCAGCAGTAGACTTGCAGTTTGTCATCGATGGAAACAGCAGTTAAAGCAAAGCCTAGTTGCACCATCAATAAAGTATAATGCACTCCTGGTGGTAAAAGGTCATTTGCCATTTTCTGAATCTGGAGTTGACAACTCAAAACACCTTGGGGGGCAGTCGAAAAGCATTCCAGGCGAAATCCACATCTCAGTGTGTTGCACCATGCACTCAGCTTTATAGCTAGGTGACAGAGCTGTATACTTTCACTTCACATTTGGGGGAAAATGCAACAGTTGATGATCAGAAGCATATAAATTGCCACCACTACAATGGTTGGCCTGCCAGTCCAGAAGTAACAAGCTAGAGATATATTTTTTTTAGAGGAATGACAGCATGGACAAAAAAAAAAAAAATACTATGAAGACCACACTGCCAACCGAATACTGCATCAAAGGTGGAAAATCTGCATTCTTGCAGCACACACAAAGGTAATATTCAAGTCCCTTATGAAAATGGCAAATTTGGAAGGGAAGAGAAGTACACCAAGGGCAAGATTGTACATGTACATTTTTTTTAGGTTATTACACATTTTATTGTTTTTCTTTCACACGTATCCTTGTTTGTCATAGTCAGAATGCAGATATTATAGCTATTATTAAAAGCAAATACTTTACGTAAAATTTTACAGCACTGTTTTTATTTTCACAATTACATATTTAGAAAACTCTAATCATATTATAAATATATTGTATATAATTTTTAGATGTCTGCATCGCTGATTGCTATTTGTCTATATACTCTGTGCATATTGTGTATATTTTTATATACCTTCATTACCGGTTACCTGATGAAACACTTTTGTTTTGTGGGGATTGTAATTTATGAATGATCAGTCCCTCTTGAACGGAACTCGACAACGAAGCAGTTTTCATCTAACTGTAATATTATAACTATAAATTCCATTTCTGGTGGCTAAATGAAGATAACACAAAATATGACGAAGAAGCTAAGTAAGTGCACACACACCTGAAAGTTTCATCCAGTGTTTATCAGTAATGAAAACATCACTCCCGAAAGAAAATGAAAACAAAGATATGGAGAGGTATTATATGCAGTGGAAAAAACGGAAATGCAAAACAAAAAAAGGAATAAAAGTGTTGAGGAGTG